CCTCAATTTTCTAAGTGCTTCCTAAGCAACGTTGTTCAACCGATTGCATAATCACATCAGAGAAGAAGTTAAAATGCTCTAGAATTTAAATGGTTTCTAGCTCTAAATCTTTTCGTTTAATGAGTCCGAATATAGCTAGTAGCTTATGAAAAAAAAATACTGTCTCATTTACGGAGAATTACAGAGCTCTCGTTTTTTAAAATTATATAATCTTTGTATTTTACTCCTAAAATGATTAATTAACTCCTTAGGTGCGCTGTGAACCTTGAGCTATCTATAGTGAGGTCATTTTTCGTCTTCATCATTTATATCTCCTTCGATATGTCTCTCGTAGCTACCGACTCATAATAAGTTTCGTCAATAACTTTTCGCGAAACTGAAATGTTACATAATTATAAATATATGTCGAGTCACTGCTCCAGAATCTAAAACAGGAAATAATATTTGATAAAATCTATATTACGAAGATGAGTCTGGAAGATGGATGAAAACTGTAGTAATTAATGTAGATGACTGTTGCTCGAACTTCTGAAGAAGCCAATGACTAAGAGACAGATGTGTCAGAATGTAGATACAAATTAATTAGTAATTAATAAATATGATATTCGATATGGTGCAATTAATGTTGTAGGCCCTAAGAAATTTCGTCTGGGGCGTTTCACTTTTTCATATATTATTGTTTTAAGCTTTTGCTCTGTGAAGTTATTGTATTTAATTTTTTTTTCAATCGATAGGTTAAAATGTAGAAACAGTTACAAAAACAAAAAATCCCTCAATGCCTGTTTTTGCTTATTTTCCTTCAGGAATAATAGACTGCTCTGAATCGGAATTAGTCAGTGTAAGGCGGGTTTACGGTTTCTATCTGTTTTGGAATTTTTATAATTATATACGCAGCTTTTTAAAAAGATATACTATTTAATAAATATTTTTAAACATCCTAATCATTGTTTACAAATGTTTCCAATGTGATAGTTAAAGTTGTTCGTTATACATATTGAACTTATAACTATTTGAATATGACAAACCATTTGCAATTTTTTTTTCCTTTATTTAACGGCAATGAATCTAGTTAATCCCTTCCCATTTTTTTTTAAAATTAATGATGAGTGGAAAATAGAACCTCAGTGACGGAGCTTTGCTTCTCACGCCGTGTGCGTGTGCGGGTGTGTGTGTGTTTTCAGGTAGAAATAATTGGAAAATGTATTTCTTTATTTTTTTTTACTTATTTTTGTGTTGAACGCATTTTACTGTAGCTGTGTTACATTTTAAGGCCTTATTAAAATTGTTTTATGTAATTTGGATCTTCAGAAAATGTATTAGTAATTTTATTTCAGATTCAATATTATTTTAATATAACAGATACATCGGGACGGTAACCAAATATTATTTTATATTTGATATATGTATATATTGGATAATTGCGAACCTTTATTTGACAAGTTTCATGGTCTAATATCTTTTTACTCTTACACAAAAAGTTCTCTACTTGTGTCCTTCCAGAGATCTGTCAACTAGTGTTGCTCAACTTGTTTTCTCTTATTTAGACCAACTTGTCCATTCCAAAAATAGTTAAAAGATATTTATAAATAAAGCAGATCAATACTTTGATTTTATACTAAATAAAAATTACTTGAAAACAGTAATCGACTTCACGCAACATTTCAAGCACGAAAACAAATGTTTAAATATATGTTGGAATACATCAGCATTTGCAGAGCTAGAAAAATAAGAAAGAAAATATACTTGTTTATGCATTAGAATACATTTTATTTTGATAAGAAATCAAGCTGGCTCACTGTGGATTCTCCTCAGAATTTTCTTTATATCTCAATTCAGTCCAGCTTAAATTCCGCATGCTTCTTAAATGGATATGTTACCTATTCTATGAAAACAAACCTTGAGTGTATTTATAGACCTAAGGAAATTACTCAAACATTTCAATTATTAGCTATTCACATTCATTAGCAGTCTTATGAAAAATATCATTTCACATACGCATGACATGGAAAAAAAAAAGAATGTGTTGTGTGATTTTAAATTAATATGAAGGAATCTCAAAAATATATTGCCAGCTTAATTACATAGGGCTTATTATTTATTAAATAAAAATATATATATATATATATCATGTACAGAGCTATCATGCTCGATTATTTACTTTTTATAAAATGTATTTATTCTGAAAGTAGAGTGGTAAGTGAAAGTTATATGATGCACTAAATCAGAGTTTTTTTATCTCTTTAATTCATATTCCTATAATTTTATTCAAATTGAAACTTGAAATTCGAAAAATGTATATGAAGGCAGGTAGATCTTTTTGCATACCTACGCTGTTGATCTAGAAAACAGAAGTCAAGTGGAAAATTTCTGTTCTAATCGGGTGAATAATGAACGTGGTAGTTAATGACTTTTCTGTTTCAGCGATAAACATTCCTTACAAAATTATTGCTAGCATATTGTGTGAGATAAAAAAATAATAATAATAAATTGGTAAAACATATAATTTATTTTGGGAGAAATAAAAAAGATAATATTCCTTATAATAATCAATAAATGAAGTAATCTCTTATTTTATTTTTTACTTTCCTACCGCTATTAAGTAAGAAAAGTATTTGGATATAAATATTTTAAAATATATTTTTTTGTCAATAGAACTGATAGAAATTTTGTTGTTATATTGTATATTTATAAAATCTTCGGTTTATCTAGAGGAAGACAAAGTAGGGTAGGGAAGCTGCCACATTTTCTACCGTGAATTCAGAAAAAAAAGCTGCAGATTGGTTATTAATATTTTAACATTCCTAATGAAACTAATGAATAATTGTAGGTAGAGTTTCCCACTCTTAAATTAACTGCTCTCTACACTATGTCCTAGTAGTGCAAAAGCGAAAAAAATACAAACACTAAAATTGCTATAATTTTTCAGAAAAGGCTTGATGGGATTGAAATTATTATTATATAATTTAAATTGTTTTTCCCTTAACCTCTTCTAGTGTTCATTCCATACCATTCTTAACAATGACGTATCGTTTTTCGTGTCAATGATAACAATTTAAATTTTGTGAAAATATACATAGAAATTAAAAAAAAAAAGAAAAAAAAGACACCTCTAACATCTTCAATTATTTGCTTTATTATGGAGAGATGAAGTGCAAATTATCATAGTCCTGAATTAGGATGGAAGTAAGCTTGTCTAATCATTCAAAAAATGATCCATCAACCTCCAACAGTAATCATGTATTTTTCAAATCTAAATACATTTGAAAAAACTCTAAAACTTTCAGCTACATTAAAGTGCAATCATGACCAATGCATTTTTTTTGGATGGTTTGGAAAGAGAGGAAGAGGGTTTGGGCATAAATGTGCTTTTTGAATTATATGGTGTTGTTTATTCAATCCACGCGGCATAACAATATGAATAATAAAATATTTTTATATACAACAGGATCTCAGGATTCGTACATTCAGCATTCGCTAATCCGACATTTATGGTATTGATGAAAACATAATCCTGCCACTTGTCTTCAATGGTTTTCGTTATTCTTTGAGCAATTCTTTTATTGTTCTTTTTTCTGGTGGCTGTTATTGGTCCAGAGTAGCTTGACTACTTTGGTTAGGTTTTTTCTTTCTCTTCTTTGCATTTTCTTTCTTCTGAATATATATATTACTTCAGTACCGGTTTTAGACCTATTTCTAATATCTCAAAATTTTTATCAACCGTGAAGCCCTTTGACGAAGATTAAGTCTTCGAATTTATTCTTCAGTTCATTATTATTAAATATGTTTCATACCTCTTTCTTTTCACTTGATCTAACATTTTGTTGATTCCTTTCAGTCTCTGATAAAGTTTGATTCTCGTCAGAGTTTGTCCGAACACAGTCGGCTCCACAATAGCTTCTTACGTTTTAGATGAAGTTTTGATGTCTCATACACAGCTGTATATCATATAAAAATATCATATTTTTATTGTTAATATCATGTAAATATATTTTATATAGACCTTTTTATATAGCTAATCAGGCTTTTTTACATTCCTACCTATACTAAGTAAGGAAAGTATTGCGATCGGGTCAAATTTCCGATATGCGGTTTTCGACGAATCTATACGTTTCAGAGCCCCCTGAATCCGAAAAAACTCAATTTTAGCCATTGGACTGTATGTCTGTCTATGCCAAGACTTTCGCGGGAACTATTGAACTGATTTTAAAAAGAAAAATGTTTTGGGGCCTAACTCGCTAAGTATATATTCTATTATAAAATTAAAAAAAAAAAACTTTTGAAAGGTTATTAAATTACCAAAAAAAAAAAAAAAAAATCATCGGAATCGATTCAGTATTAGCGATGATATAGCGTATTATATTTTCTACACATGTTTTAAATTAATACTCTCCTACCTATGTAAGGAAAGTATTGCGATCGGGTCAATTTCCGATATGCGGTTTTCGACGGATTTATATGTTTCAGAGCTTCCTGAGTCCGAAAAACACATTTTTAGCTGTCTGCCTGTCTTTACATCGTTTAGTTCTGTTTTTGTTTTTTAAAGGTTATGAAATTCCCTACAAAACTATATAAAAATCGTTCAGTTTGGACAACTATTAACGAAGTTACATCTATTCAATTTCCAATGTAAAATTACGGGTACGTATTTTACGTGTCAGAAAGGGAAGGGATGAGTGAAAGAAAAAAGATAACTAATTGAAAGTAAGAAAATCTGTAGCCCGCATCACACAAGCTTCACTATTTCCTCTACTTTTAACAGAATTATTGTTTGACAAAATTAGGCTATGGCAAAAAGTTTTTGATCAGCAATATTAGAGGGTATTAAAATTTTTACACTGCTCTATCTTAAGCCGGTTTACATTCGTTTAGTTTATCAAATAAATCGTACTAAAGTCTTTTCTTTGATGAATTTGGAATGCTCCTAAAAAATCTTTATGTTTGTAAACACACAATTGTACTTCCCGTATCTATGTTATCTTAATGTCTTCCCAATTTTCCAGATGGGCATGTCCTCCGAAAAGGCAACTGTTCTGAAAAAGCTTGCGGTTTGGAGGCTGGTTGTGTCCAACAAGGAGACAGCTACATGTGCGTCTGTCCTCACGAAGGGAGGCCAACGGTGGATCTTCATTGCCCGAGGAAAACTGGTGAGTTAGCATTTATATATTACATATATTTATAATATTATGTTATTACAGATTCTGACTACTACAACATTTACTTGACAACGCTCTAAACTTATAATATTGTACAAAAAACTAATTTACACTACCATCCTCAGGCCCATTTGGACAAATGGTATTGAGCTTTAGGGCTCTACAAAAACATCAAATTCTTTCCATATCCAATCCTTAAAATCCTCCGTAAAATCCTAAATGCTCCTTATTATGTAACAAATAAAATTACCCTTAAAGTCCTCAACATTCCTCTTGTGGAAGACTTGTCCCAAACTAGATATACCTCTTTTAATTCCAAACTCTTTGGTCACCACAATCCTCTAGTTCGTAGACTTTCATCCAATACAATTCCTGACAACCCTCCTAGGCTTCTTAAAAGAAGATGGCCAAGGGACCTCATAAATTAATTTATCTTTGAAGTGTTACTAATGGGTATACACTTCTTGTATAAGTACTTTCATGTTATATATTCCTATAGCACATTTACTAGTTGTATGTATGTTTACGGTTGTAAATTTCAATAAATAATTTTTAAAAAATCGATTTTTAATGTTTATTGATTCGAAATGAACATTCTCTTAATGAAACGGTTTTCATAAATTTTTTATTTTATTTTTTTTATTTAGACATTTAATATTCTGTCTCGTGGACAATGATTATAGTGATAAATGAACACATTCACACCATATATACAGAAAATATAAAATTAACAAAAGTGGAATAATAAGTAAATAATACTAATAAAAAAAACTCTGTTTTGCATAAATAAAAATGATTACATTGTGTTAAAAAAAAATGTTTATCAGAAAATATCATATTCTGAGTGAAAATAATAACACGTTTTAATATCATTTTTCCGAAATCACTTTAATTGTGCTCGCGGTATTTGCACTGTAAAAAAAAAATAAATATTGGTTTATTATTTTCAATAATGAAACATTGTGATCGACCAAAAAATTCAAAAACATAACCCCCTCTCAAAATTTGAGGTTTCACGTTTCAAGACGCGTAGAATTCGAAAAACGAATAAAACATTTTTTGTCCGTCCGCCATCCGCCGTACGCGCATTTTCTCCGAAACTACTGGACCGATTTTTTTTAATTTTGATATAAAATCAGAGGTCACCCGAGGATGATCCTCCTTCATCGACATTACTCTCCACCTTTAACTTTCAAAATGGGGGGCCCCAAAAACCTGCGTTGCTATTGACTGTAGCTCCTAAACGAATTAACAGATTTCAATAAAACTTCGCTAAAGTCATTTTCTCGACGCCCTTTAAATTTATCTATATAACATACTTCAACGAAAAGAAGCTGGAAAAAAAAAGTTACAATACACGGTGGGCCAGACCCCCTTACCGTCCACCCCTCCCCCCCCCTCCCCACATCCCTATAAATTGCATATCGTTGTGTTCCTTGTAACTATTTATTAAAAAAAAGCCAATGTTCCCACAAAAAAAAGTGAACGCACTGCCCCAAAATGGCGTCCAAAGATGGCGGATTGACGACTTTGACTTTAGTTAGTTTTTTGGTCACTGAGAATCAGCATTTGGCTTAATTTCCTCATAGTTGGTCTTTTATTAAAGCTGAATAGTTATAGAATAATAAAACATGAAGAAATATAAAAAAAAAATTGGCTTAGGCTATGAAAAACACCAGTAAAGTCAATTTTTTCAACAAAACAATTTTCAAGTTACAAATCAAGCGTCGTTTGTAATTAAACGGCCTACAATAACGCAAAACGTGCTGAAATAAACCATCTGGATAATATATTTCTCCTTCTGAAACGCTGATTATTTTTTAGAAATGTTTAAGTAGTTCCGTAGAAAATGTACTTATGCGGCAGAAAAGTGGTACTGGCGTGGGTGCCTACAGGCCTCTACCACACCATTCAGTGCCCATAAATGGCTTAGTTATAGTGATATAATAACATTTTTGGTACATTATATTGATTTTATTAACGAACAAATATTAATGCAATAATTTAATTGTAAAAAAAAAAAAATTAAAATTAAAAAAAGTATTATTATTTTTTTTTTTAAATTTAACCTCCTTTATTCTATACGTAGGTCGTTTAAGAAGACCTCAATTGTAAAAATGATATAATTATAATAATAAAACTTAATTAAAAAATACTTTGCTAAATATCTTGATTTTTTTTTTTTATTTAACGTTGCAATTTAACACTGTGTTTTGTATATTTACTGATTCTTAGAAGTAATTAAAAATTTTATATACTTCCAGGAAATGAGTCATATTAATACCTGTTTTATAAACTAAAATAATATATACCTAATCTGAACTATATATAATGAATAGCTACCGGGTTGTTTAGTAAAACTCATATATCACTAACTAAAAAATTAATTTTTATTTCCTTTATTTTGTGCAGAAGTTGGACTATATCATAAATAAATAGGAAATTTTAATATTGAATGAATTATTCTCTATGCACAAAGAAAGATAGAAAGGGTGACCCTAACTATAAACCAAAACTGATTGTTTGGATTTGATCTCAAAATGAGGAAAAACGCGTATAATACATTAAGCGAACGAGAAAGGAAGTGCCAAAACCTCGGAATAGATAAAAAGGACCAGTATCCATTATATAGCTAAATGAATGTATAGTAGACAGATGAACAGAATATTTCAAGATGCTGCTAAAACGGGATCAATTGCAGTTTGGATGATATTAAGTGGACGATGTAGGTTTATTATGGTGAAAACCACTTTATTTTCGATTGCTGAAGGTGCACATCGGGACTATATTAACTTTGAAGCAGGATATAGAGAGGTATATCGAGAAAGTTATAGCTCATAGCTCTCCTTCTGTTTAGTGCATTTCCAAAAGATTTTTTAAGGAATCTAAAAGGAAAACGAGCTTTTCTGAAAGACAGTTAGATATTAGCATAATCCAAAGTATGAGGCACTAAGCAGATAGAGAGCTATTTTTCTTTTTATGTGGACTTCTCTATAACCTGCCTTAAAGTGAAGACAGTCCCAATTTTCAACTTCTCTTCCAATGTGCAACTTGAGTTTCTCAATCCATATCACTCTGGCAATCGACAATATTTCTTATTCCAGCTTCTACGATTCTTGAGTATAATTTGTTTGGTACACTAAACAGGAATGGATCTTGATGGGTATTACATTTCCTAGTACCTCCTTTCTTGTAAAGGTAAAAACCACAGTTCTTTCATATTATTTTCTAATATGCTTGTTGCCTATGTACGCGCAAAACTGTCAAAGTAGTTCGGTTTCGCCCTTTTTATCTTTCTTTGTGCAGAGAGAATAATATATTCAGTATTAAAATTTCCTATTTTTTTATGATATGGTACAAATTCCGAAGAATTTATTCCGCAATTTCTGAACAATAACGAGCTATAACTAATATAAGATTCCTTAAAAAATCTTTTGCAAATGCACTAAACAGAAGGAGAGCTATGAGCTATAACTTTCTGGATATACCTCTCTATATCCTGCTTCAAAGTTAATATAGTCCCGATGTGCACCTTCAGCAATCGAAAATAAAGTGGTTTTCACCATAATAAACCTACATCGTCCACTTAATATCACCCAAACTGCAATTGATCCCGTTTTAGCTGCATCTTGAAATATTCTGTTCATCTATCTACTATACATTCATTTAGCTGTATAATGGATACTGGTCCTTTTTATCTATTCCAAGGTTTTGGTACTTCCTTTCTCGTTCGCTTAATGTATTATACGCGTTTTTCCTCATTTTGAGATCAAATCCAAACAATCAGTTTTGGTTTATAGTTAGGGTCAGCCTTTCTATCTTTCTTTATGCATAGAGAATAATTCATTCAATATTAAAATTTCCTATTTATTTATGATATAGTCCAACTTCTGCACAAAATAAAGAAAATAAAAATTAATTTTTTAATTAGTGATATATGAGTTTTACTAAACAACCCGGTAGATATTCATTATATATAGTTCAGATTAGGTATATATTATTTTAGTTTATAAAACAGGTATTAATATGACTCATTTCCTGGAAGTATATAAACATTTTAATTACTTCTAAGAATCAGTAAATATACAAAACACAATGTTAAATTGCAACGTTAAATAAAAAAATTAAAAAATCAAGATATTTAGCAAAGTATTTTTTAATTAAGTTTTATTATTATAATTATATCATTTTTACAATTGAGGTCTTCTTAAACGACCTACGTATAGAATAAAGGAGGTTAAATTAAAAAAAAAATAATAATACATTTTTTTTAATTTAATTTTTTTTTTTTACAATTAAATTATTGCATTAATATTTGTTCGTTAATAAAATCAATATAATGTACCAAAAATGTTATTATATCACTATAACTAAGCCATTTATGGGCACTGAATGGTGTAGTAGAGGCCTGTAGGCATCCACGCCAGTACCGCTTTTCTGCCGCATAAGTACATTTTCTACGGAACTACTTAAACATTTCTAAAAAATAATCAGCGTTTCAGAAAGAGAAATATATTCTCCAGATGGTTTATTTCAGCACGTTTTGCGTTATTGTTGGCCGTTTAATTACAAACGACGCTTGATTTGTAACTTGAAAATTGTTTTGTTGAAAAAATTGACTTTACTGGTGTTTTTCATAGCCTAAGCCAATTATTTTTTAATATTTCTTCATGTTTTATTATTCTATAACTATTTAGCTTTAATAAAAGACCAACTATGAGGAAATTAAGCCAAATGCTGATTCTCAGTGACCAAAAAACTAACTAAAGTCAAAGTCGTCAATCCGCCATCTTTGGACGCCATTTCGGGGCAGTGCGTTCATTTTTTTTTGTGGGAACATTGGCTTTTTTTTAATAAATAGTTACAAGGAACACAACGATATGCAATTTATAGGGATGTGGGGAGGGGGGGTGGACGGTAAGGGGGTCTGGCCCACAGACTACGAGGGATTGTAAAATTAAATTCCGAATAAATCGAAAAGTTTTTACTTTTTTGTAGATATTGTATGGTTTTTTAAAAGTCTATGAAATTTCATAAAAAAAAAAAAAAAAAAAGAATCGTTAAAATCGGACAATTAGGAGCAAAGATATGGTCTCCGGTTATTTTTTTTTTTATGTGTTCTACCCCAAAAGTTATATCGTTGTTTTGGTTTTTAAATTTTAAATGTGTTACTGAACTAATGCTATTTTTTGTAGCATATTACTAATGATTAAAAAAAAACAGTTTAGTCCAATAATTGGAATCACCTCTTGTTTTTTTTTCTTTGTAACTCGGAAGGTAATGTTACTTTAGATGTATAATTGTTTGGAAATAATAAACCATTGTGAAATAATTTGCAGCGTTTTTTTTTTTTGTAAGCCAAAATTTCTAATGAATTTCACTTTATAAAGTGTGGCAATTCTGTGCACTACATATTATTGGTTTGTTAACCTGAAAGTAGTTTTTAATGTATCATTTATCATTCGTTATTTCGTTTTATCTATAATTGAATCATTAATTAGAATGTTATGAAACTCCCAATTTCGTCATTTATAGACTCACAATCAGCTATCGTTATTCTTAATTTAGTGAATGTTAAAAAATTCAAGCTTAGCGATTTGAAGTCCCACTATAATTTAATGCAACCGGGAACGATAGTGGTCGATCGAGCAATGTAATTCTCATAATTAAAAAATAAGTAATTATATACGTTTCGACTATCTTACGTCTGTATGGAAGGATTACGGTCCGTGTCCTCTTGCACAGTAACTAGAAGCTATATATCTTCGTTATTGGTAGATTGGCTAGAAGACTTCCCATAATTCAGCTCTCCACTGGCTGAATTCTCAGACTGTAGCCTCTTATAAATATCGCGTAATGGAATAACTCCTTATTTTATATCGATACTCTATTTCTGGACTTATAAAAACAATGAGGAAAATGCATTAAACCACGGACTAATTGGTTTAGCATTACTGTAACGAGGAATGCTTAAAGTCATGAAATGTATAGAAACTATCAGGTGATAAGTGTTTAAGTATTATAATTTCTAAAACGTTGATTTTTCTATTACACTGCCGGAGACCGGAGACTGAAGCTTTGTGTTTATGCACTAAGTGAAAAACATTTTTGTACTCTTAATCGAAAATTTTCACTCACGTTTTCGATTTATAAAACAAATTTGATTTGATGTTAGCATCTCTCTCTCTTGTCAAATCAAGGTGACAGTCATAATACCTACTACCGTTAATCCGATTTTGTTACAATCTTGAAAAAATTATTTAGATTGTAAATTACGTCATTATTTAGATTGCCCCATATCTATTTTATGAAATGTCATCTTCTACTTTCGCTTGTGCATTCACAAAAATGTTTTCCTTAGCTCACTTAAATTTTATAAAAAACTCGCTCGATTTAGCCCGAAGTTGAAGGAAAGTTGAGTACCAACGTAAAAATCCTCTAGTACAAATGTTTATCAAATTCCAATCTCTACTTTCTCTTATCCTTCAAAATCGGTTTCCTCCGTATATTATATTCTACAATATGTTTGGTGAGGAACTTTTCTTTATATTATCATATCATATTATAACCTTTCTCCAACATTATAGCTATCTATTTTCTATGTTATCCCTAAATTTAAATTTATTAAAAAATAATCATATTATTCATACATATATATATATATATACATTTTAACTTTTTGTTCACTGATTCTAAATTTTAAAAATAGATGTTAAACAATAATAGATGTGATAATGAACTAATGAACCCAACATAGGTGGTCTGATATGTTAACTAAAATTACCAACTTACAATAAATTATGTTTTTTTGAAAATAGTGAATCATATCAACTTTTCTCAGTTAGGTATGGTTTTGATACAATGGAGTACAATTATTTGAATTATATTGATGACTATTTGATTCACTTAAACATTGTTTGAATTGGGTTTAAAAATTATCATTTTTGTGCTACAAGTTTAATCTTAATTTAGCTTCAGATATTTCACCTTAGAAGTGAATTTAGGAAGAAATTTAGCTATTATTTCTATTTAGCTAAAAGAGTCCTTCTCTGGAAAAGTGTATACTGGAGGTATTTAACTTAATGTGAACTTATGTTCTATAGCAGTGTCATAGCAATAGCCATAGAATTATTACTCTCCATTATTTAATTGGTGTCAACCACTTGAAAGATCTGCTGCATTAATTATTTTGTTCCCCACAGTAGGGCAAAAACTGTTCTCTTGGCCAGATTTTGCCTGGTTTAGACAGACCTAGACATTATTAATTTTAGATATTGTTATTTTTTTTCTTACTCTCCAAAATTAATTTTATAACTACATATACAATTACAAAATACAAATGCATCGTTCCATTGTGGTATTCTACGATTGATTCTAAAGTCCACTGCCTGCAGTAGTGTCCTCGATGGTACGAGACTACTTAGGTCGTGAATGCATTCAGCCTGTCACATAATTCAATGTGACATTTTCTGATTTTGTATTGAAGATATAAATAAAGAGCTAAAATTTCATAAATAATAGTAAATTATACTTCTCATACTTGGAAATCACAATTAATGCAATGAGCAATATATCTATTTATAAATTCACTCCTGCGGGACAATAGAAATGAACTAGAGTAAAACAATTTCACATTAAATAAATATATTTATTAAATATACAAAAATATTTCAAGGTGTGATGGCTGAGATTGTCCAGTTCGGAACGTTGTTGGTTCGATTCCCTCCTGGGTTGGTTAATTGTTGTTTCTCGGCTGCCCCACCACGCGGTAGCACATAAGTACGCGGTAGCAACCTCAAGGTTGCTCTCAGGAGGGGTTGGCAAAAAGGACCATGAGGCCCACTTGCCAGACTAGTTTCTCTCACCAGCAGCAGTACCAGTACCGGTATATAATAGCCTGATGATGGTTAAACTCAAACTTAATATCGATAGCCATACTGCAAAAGCCTTTAAGGACAATTTCCATGGAAAATGAGGTTTTCAGGTTAATCTTGTCCTGACACATATTCTGATATCACAACATCAAATCTACGAGTTTCATTTCTTCTATATGGCCCTTTGTAAACACCTGTAACTTAAAACCAGCCAATTGTGATATAAAAAACTGTAAGGTACAGTGGAAGTTATAGAGATCGAGTCGTTACCGAAAAAACTTAATGAAATGCTCAATGAAAGGTGGTCATGTAAATACAGACTGTATAAAGCGTTTTATGCATAGACCTACAGTATCAATTAGCTTTATTAATAAGCTAAAATTAATTTTTTGAGTACTCTTTGAATTTATTTTTTGATTTCACTTACCTATATATTAAATGTATAGTAAGGGAAAGTATTGCGATCGTGAAAATTTTCGAATCTGAGGTTTCAATGGAAATACACGTGTTGAGGTTGAGGTTCCCAGGGTCTAAATAACTAAGTTCCGCAAAATGGTGTGTGTGTGTGTCTGTGTGATCAGTCTAGCTCAAAAACGAAAAGTCGTAAGAAACTGATATTACGTATTTCAGATAGGCACTAGATGGAAGTTACGACAACTTTTTCCTGGAAATCGGTTGACCGGAAGTGGCATTTTGTATTAACGGTGATACACATTTTTATAATTTTCTAACAAACGGCCCTAACGGTTTCGATTAAACTCGCTGTATCATTATATAATTAAGTGGTCTTTAATATCATTGAGGTGTTATCCCCATTGATGTCACTTTACAGGGCTTAAATACTTAAATGTTCAACATTTCCTCATCTAAAGTATCTTTAATTTGCTTTATTTTAAATAATTATCTATCTCTCATTAATATCAGTTGCGGAAATGTGTTAAATATAACTTTCGAAAGAATTTGATATTTGGAAAATGGAGTAAAAGGGGGAAAAGTTTATTTAGATCGAAAATGAATCTCCGGAAATAATAGTCAGAAGGTACAAGCATTCGTGAATCAAACCATGTCCATATGAAGTTGAATATGTTAAAAACGAATCTTCCAGAGACTACATACAGACTACATCTCCACAATGGGGTTAATGCACTCCTTTTGAGCCCTCCCTACAGTGAGAGACAAAAAAGTGAATAACCCATGTGAGCTTTCCAGTCAATTTTGTTACAAATTTTCATTTGAATTTTCATGTCATTTCTGTACATTTTGGAAACCAACTTGGTTCCTGTCATGATTTCATCCTTATTAACAAAGTTATCGGTGTTACTACAATAAATGTGATTGTTTTTACATAACTGATAACTGTTTTTTTCAAAATAACTAAAAAGCTAGAAGCTAGAAGTAATGGCCCTAAAAGATTATTTCGCAGAAATATGATCAACAAAGTTACATAGAGCATTACACCTTTGTCTTAGGCCTACAAAAAAAAGAAAAAAAAAAAAGAAATTGAAGTGGAAAATGTAATGCTCATAGAACAAAAATTATGCAGTTTTTCTTCTTCTGAAAATTTTTAGTTTTTGTTCTTACAGTCTTTTGCAGTATACTCATTAAAAAAGTTCAGGTAGTTAGAATATTTTTTTAACTAACATTATTAATTTTTTTAATGTCACCTCTCATTTACAGTTACAGATCAGCCTAAACCGTTTGTGGTGATACCTCCAACTGAACAAAACAAGACTACATCAAATTCATCTACACAGGTATGAAATTCTATTACACGTTATTATAATGTTTTATTTAATATTGATAGAAAACATTCTCTATTAAAAATCTGGTATATTTTATTTAATTAGTAGAGCATTTGTAAACAGAACAATTTCTAGATGTATATAACTTTATTCTAACAGGCCACAGATGGAGTTTTGGCTGGTATATTTGGCATGTTCATCTCTGATACCAAATTAATCATTATCTTGCTGCTAATCATTCTGGCTTGTTGTATCTTCATGTACCTCAGTTGCAGGAGGAAGATGCAGCGAAGTTTAGAAGAAAAATCCAAAGGAATAACACTAGTGAGTATTTTTTTTTTTGTTGAAAAAATCTTTTAAAAAAAGAAAAATTCTAATATCAGATCATTAAAAAACAAAACAAAACAGTTACTTTAAATGAGGCAATAAAATGTAGAAAAATCAGTTTTATTATTTTTTCCTACGTCTTGGGTGTTCTCGAATGGAGTCTTCAGTTAGATTTAGAAGTATTCATTGGAAATAATGAAATCGTTTTGTTTTTTACTTGTATTATCACATAATAAATAAACCCTACTTTTTAAAAAGCTAAATTACTCAATATTTGATCTCAACTGCAGCTCTTTATTAGGTTTAGTAGCTCCCAAAATATGGCTCTTCAATTGCTACTGAAATTTGTAATTTTTCTTAAAAGTGAAATTTCAAGTTTTAGCCAGAATGCAGGATCAAAGCTTATAAAAAATTGTAAAACGTTCTGATCCTAAAAAGAAAATTGTTAGCAGTGAAGTTGTAGCAAATGTATTTAGATTTAATTTGAGCTCAAAAACGATGTATGTGCCATACTTACCCAATAACTGGACCACAATTTTGCAAAAACAAAAAAAACAAAACAATGATTCTATCTTAACTCTTTTCATGACTTTAAAACTCAAAACTTCATAGCTTTTTAATAAATACACTATACTTGCATTTTGTATCTTTTTTGTGTTTTGAGTGCAGTCAGTTAAAGATGCTTTTATGTGCAGGAACCTGGTTAAAAGTAATCAGTTGTGTACTTCAACCTTCTTTTTATTTATTTTTTTTATTATTGAAAAGTATTACATTCTGTCATTTATAATAGTGTTCAGAGATCACATTCATACTCTATGTACCTTTTATTAATTCTTTTTTTGCTGTATCTCATACTTTTGAACCTTTAAGTGAATAAATCTGGTTTGTCCACTCACACGACTTTCCTACCTATATCAGAAAAGTTTTTATTTCATTACATACGTCCATCAAGAAACAAAAAAAAAAATTGAATTAAATTTATTTTCCTGAAAATTTATCAAAGAAAAGATTTGAGTATACTTTATTTGATAAACTAAAGCAATGTAAACCGGCTTAAGTTGGATCAGTGTAAAAATTTCAATACCCTCTAATATTGCTGTTCAAAAACTTTTTGCCATACCCTAATTTTGTCAAACAATAATTTGTGTTGAAAGTAGTGGAAATTTTATCCGTTTGCAATACTTTCCTTACCTAGTATAGGTAAGAAAGTAAAAAGCAAAAATTTCACAATTGTATGTGTATTCCTCCAAATGCACTGGCAACTTTTGTTTTTCATGAACTCCAGATTCGGATTTAGCACCTCCAAATAATAAAGAAATATAATAAAACAAACTGCTTACCACAAGAAATAATTTTTTGACATTCCTAGGTTCATAACTAAAGTTCACATAATTATTAAAATCTAATATTTTTAGACTCCTAATTGCTCTGTACCTGTCTCTACTGTCTCTAATATATTATTGTATTGCAGTACTATAATTTTATACTAATGTTATTCATTTAATAAGCACAAGCTCAATTAAAACTCAGTAAACAGTATTTTTTAAGTTCTTTCATCTTCCTTTACTTTTAAGAATATTTTCTGATTAGCCATGTTGTGATAATGTTTTTTCTTTATTGATCTGATAAATAAACTTTGTAATTATAGTATTTTCAGGTTGGACATGTATATTTTTTAGGTGTAGAGGTGCTAACTTTAGAGCACTGGAAAACTTTTTTGACTGTTTTGTTATAACAAAACTGCTCCCGGTATTTTATAGTCATTTTCATAGTTAAATATTAATTATTTTTATTTATTTTTTTTTTTTTGCTTATAGTATTCAAAATTATTTATATCCTGAATTCTTATAAATAAATTAAGTAAACTTTACTAGTATAAGTTTTTAGATAGTAAAAAAATTTAGTCAGCAAGATTTTATTCTTGAATAGATGGAAAAATGTAGATTGCAAAAATTTACTAATAATGCAATTATATTCGTTCAGGTAACGCCAGTGACTCTCACTAAAGGAATAATTAATGCTGACCGATTTGCCAACAATCCTGGATATCTTGGAGGTGATCCATGCCATTTGTCTCTTCCCCTCATTTCCCGAGACAATGTTAGATTTAACAACATAATAGGGGAAGGCTGTTTTGGTAAAGTATTCAAAGGTATGCTCCCTTATATTTTGAGTTTTATTTAGAAATCTTAATACCCCATGCTTTCGGAGGACTTTGAATGCACTTAAAATCAAATCAAATATTTGTTATATTTATTGTCTCTTTTATTTAATACCATCATTTTTGTTACAGGTGAGCTAGTTAAAGACGATGACACAATTGAAATTGTCGCTATTAAAGTATTGAAAAATTCAGCCTCAAAAGAAGCAGAGGAAGATTTCATGCGAGAAGTGGAAATAATGAGTTCATTTCAGCATAAAAACATCTTATCTTTACTCGGTGTGGCATTAAAAGGTCTGATTGTGTTATTATTTTTTTTTAAATAAAAGCTTAAATTTAATTGTTATTTCCTTAAGGGTTGAGCAATGACCAGATATATGATACAATATGCTGAAGTTAATGTTAAAAATCAAAGCTTTAAAAAAAAAGCCTAAGTAATGTTTTTTTTAAAAAAAAAGAGCATATTAAGAGTATATATATATATATATATATATATATATATATATATATATATATATATTGTACTGCAAGAATACAAGGAACACAATTCCAAAAATGTGTTTTTATTGGAACAAATCTTTGGAATCACATTTAATTTGATATAAAAGACTCCAGAAGTTTTTTAAACACATGTTGCTAGTTTTTTCACTATTTTTTTTTTATTGTTTTGGCATGCCATTTTAGGTCTGGTTGCTCTTAGGGATAGTAGGAGTCAAACTTAAAAGTGCTGATGTTAAAAATTTTGAGTTATAGCCGTTTTATTTTATTCTCGCTGTGTGGGGTTTTATTACATCTAAACAATAAAAATATATTAAGTGGATATTTTATTTATAATTATTTAATTATTACTAATTAAATATTTGTTTAATATTTAGAGCAAAACAAGAGCCCGTGGATGGTATTTGAGTTCATGCCATTTGGTGATTTGACAGAAGTTCTAAGAAGCAACTCAAAGCATTTTCGTAGACCTGATTCAAATGTTCCCCTTCTAAGCAAAGTAATGACATAGTTTGATATTCATTTACTGTTTTTTATCAAACAAGAATATTTACTAAAAGTTGTTCATCTTATTTTAGGAATCACTGCTCTCAATCGCCACACAAATAGCATCAGGAATGAAGTACCTTGCAGGGCAGCACTTTGTTCACAGAGATCTTGCCTGCAGGAACTGTCTTGTTGGTGATAACTTGACAGTGAAAATTGCTGACTTTGGAATGAGCAGAGATGTGTACACTTGCGATTATTACAAGGTTGATAGTGTTAATTATTTTACTACCCATCTATTTCTTCAAGCTTAGATGATTATATGACGAGTATAAATGTACTGCCTCATAAAGTAACTGTAAAGAATGTATTATTTTGTAAATTGTATGCTATCTTTATCATAAAACTTTTTAACTAAAAACAGAAAAAAAAATCAGAAATGTGTTCTAACTTAAACTTGAGATTGGAATTCTCATTTCTAAATAGATAAAAAGTCTTTTTTGAAAAAAATTTTGAGTTTTACATAAATGATGGACCAGACCCTCTTATCGTGCACTCCCCTCCCCTCACATCCCTGTAAATTGTATATTTTATTGTTCCTTGTAACTATTTATTAAAGAAAACCCAATGTTTGCACAAAAAACAAATGTGGCCTTACTGCCTCAAAATGGTGTCCAAACATGGCGGACTGACGACTTTGACTTGAGTTTGTTTTTTGGTTGCTGAAAATTAGCATTTGGCTTAATTTCTTTATAATTGGCCTTTTATTAGAGCTGGATAGTCAAGAAATAATAAAACATGAAAAAATATTGAAAAATAATTGTGGCCTAGGCAATAAAAAAACAACAGTATAGTAAATTTTTTCAATAAAAACAATTTTCAATTTGAAAATCAAGCGTCATTTGTAATTAAACATTAATATAAAAAAACGCCGTGAAATATAACATCTGAAGGATACATTTCTCTTTCTAAAACACTGATTACTTTTTAAAATATTTGATTCATTCTACTTCTGCACAAATTTCCATCCTTCACAGGGCCAAATCTTCTTCTAAAGATTCTTCTTCTTCTTATTCGGCGTTATGATCCACTTGTTGAGTCATAGCCAGCTCAAGTTTAGACCGGCAGTCCTGCGTACTGCCTATATTATACCGCTGCCTTCCAGTTCATAACACCCAGTAGAGATCTCACGTCTGCAGCCACGCAGTCTTCTCAGCGAAGTCTGGGGCATCCAACCCGCCTGGTACCATACATTTGTCCAGCTAAGAACTTGTAAGGAACTTCGTTTAGATCCATCCTTATGACGTGACCAGCCCAGCGAAGTCTTGATACCTTTACGAATGTTGATACGTCTATTTCTTTGTACCTCGCTCTTAACTCAGCATTCGTTCTTTTTCTCCATGCGCCTCCCTCATATATACTACCATATATACGGCGAAGCTCTTTTCTTTTGAAACGGAGAAGGAGATGCTCAAGGGCTTTAGTTGTAGTCCAATATTCTGAGCCATATGTAAGAACTGGTTGTATAATTGTCTTATAAATTCTCACTTTTAAATTAGACAACACACTACTTCTCAAGAGTTTATGAAGGAAGAAATAGGTGTGGTTTGCAGAGAGGATCAATCTTTGGATTTTTTCTTCAATGCACTTATTATGGTTGATCTGGGATCCTAGGTATATGAATGATTCCACTCTTTCAAATCTATGGCAACATATCGAGACTCCCACCATGACTCCCACCATCTACTTGGGTTGGTAAGGTGCACATATATTTTGTTTTTTCAACATTCACGATTAGACCCAGTCTTGCTGTAGACTTCTCTAATGCTTTAAAAGTTTCTCTTATGGCATTTAGAGTCTTTCCCGCAAGATCCAAGTCATCTGCAAATCCTAAAATCTGGACTGCCTTGTTGATAAGTGTTCCTGTTACTTGGATACCAGAGTCCCTAATAGCTTTCTCAAGGGAAAAGTTAAACACTAAACAGACCAGGCCATCACCCTGCCTCACACCTGTCCTCGTTGTGAATCCTCTTGAAAGCATTCCGCCCACTCCAACAAAGCATACATTGTCCTCCATCGTCATTTTTAATAGACAAACCAGTTTGGTAGGGATGCTCATATCCACTATTGCCTTATATGCTTCTACCCTGTTCACGGAATTGTAGGCTTGTTGGAAATCAATGAACAGGTGGTGACTATGTATCTGGTATTCCCTTCTAAAGATCTTCATCTAAAATATCAGAGTCGAGGACTGGATATATAAAACCCTTATTAGGTTTTTATACATCCGGAACTTTTTTTCCTTTTTATAAGCTTTCTCCGCATATACTTAAGCAGGCCAAATTATCAACTATTTGCTGCTGCAGTTCTTTGCTTAATTTCGGCAGAAATATCATTTGTTACATTGACCTGTGCTCCAAGAATTCAGTGACTCTTTCAAACATGCATGTCCCAATTGTCAACTTTTGCTCCCGTGTACCTGTGCCTATTCTTTTGAACATATACTTAGTTTTCTGCTCATTCACAATGAAGTCCATAGCTTGAAAAGTTCTCTGCAGGTCGAGAAAAGCTTTCTCTAGGGCTGAATAGGATCTCGCAGTGATATCTAAGTCTTCCACATATCCAAGCAATTGAACTAATTGTGAGAAGACCATGCCTGTCGTGGAATGCCTGACTCAGACAACTTTCTCCAAGGCCGAATTGAAGAGCAATCATGCTCTTGCCTTAATCCTTTGTCAGAAGGAAATTTTGATGAGCAATCCGACTAAACATGAACTTAGCATTGCACATCTTCCACGGTCATTTTAGCCCATTTAATTAGCATCAAAGGGATCCTGTATTCCTCCATTACTTCATAACATTTCTGTCATTTAATACTATCATAAGCGCACTTGAAATTGACAAAGAGGTGGCAAATTGGCAATTTGATAGGATGTATAAAAAAAAAACAACGACAGTTTAATAAAATTCAAGATTTCAAAGGGCTGTAAATATTTTAATCCTATGTAATACTTAATAATCCCTTTAGGGCATTCTCTAAGCTTGTTTAATCTCATTCGACTTGTTCAAAAAAAGCCTCAATTTAGTGTTTTGTTTCAAAGAACAAACATGACAGTGTCCTACGAAATTCTCGTAATTTTAAGTAATTACTGGAAAAAAAATTTTACAGCCGCTGAAGCAACTCGTGAAATTATTAAATAGGAAGGGGAAGGTATCCTTGACCAACGCACTGCGCAACGTTGGATAATTTTGAAAAATTTATCAGTCGAGATACGAGGTTGGAAAGGAAGAAGAATTCCGGGTGACAATTAATGGATATTGATGAAGTTCTGCAGGAAGCTGTTGAGTCAAATCTGTCCACAAGTACTCGCGAACTTGCCAGAGACTATGCTATGTCGTAAGATACTGTTGGTCGCCATCTACTCTCCATGAGGAAGATGGAAAAGAATGGTTCCTCATGAACTTACTCCTCAGTAATCAATCAGCTAAGAGGTTAGACATTTTTGAAAAACACTTCTGATATGAGATTTTACAGGAAGATTGTCACCTGTGATGAAAAGTGGGTATACTAGCGAAATCCAAATATCTGTGAGCAATGGTTAGATCACAGTCAAACTACTTTTCCAGTTGCTGCAAGGGGGCAATTTGAAAAAAAATTCATGCTTTGCATTTTTGGAATTTTTAAGGTGTTATTCATCACGAATATGTTCCTGATGGATGCTCTATGAATTCGAACTCTACTGCGAACAACTGGAAAGATTGTAAGCAAAGTTTTCAGATCGTTATCCTGCTCTGATCAACCGAAAAGGAATTTTATTCCAACAAGATAATGCTAGTCCTAACACTTTTCGTCGAACCAAAGAAAAGTATAAAGAACTCCATGGGTTCAAACTCCTGCCTAATCCACGAAATTGTCCAGAACTCACACCATTGGCTTAGTACTTATTTAGATCCATGGCCCATCTTCTTCAATGGAAAAAATTTGATAATTTTGCGGAATTCGAAATTGTGGTTCAAGAGTTCTTTGACAGCCATCCCAAAGAATGGTATCGCCATGGGATCGAGTAACTGACAATGGACTATACTTTGAGTATTAATTGTATTTTATATCAAAGAAATAATAATACAAACATTTTGTTGAAAAATGGTCATTTTTTATACACGCTATTATATTCTGGCCCATTTTCAGTGATCATGCAGAGTGTATAAATTTGATCTCTACTAAATCTGCCTCGATGAAATCCTGCCTCGTGTCATCTCATTTCACGCTCAGAGAATAGTGTAAGTCTATTGAAAATGATGTTTAAGACAAGTTACGAAAAATTATATATCACTAATAAAAAAATTATTTTAATTTTTTTATTTCCTTTATTTTGTTCTGATGTGAGGCCATATTGTAAACAATGAGAAAATGTTAATAATAAATGCTTTACTCTCTCTGCCCAAAAGAACCATTGAAAGAGTGCAGCTAAATGTTCTTCTAGATAACCAAAAATAAGTGACAGTATTTGGTCTCCAAATGGAAGAAAATGCGAAAGTGAACCCAAGATTTGGAAAAATACATTAAGGGAATAAGGAAGGGACAAAAAAAATCCCTGAAAAGAAAACAAGATTCATACTCCATTATTTGGATGAAGGAATATACACTAGACAGATTAAGATAGTATCCCAAGGAGCTGCCAGAAGAGGTCTAGAAGCTGGTACAGTTTGGATGAGATTAAGGAGAGGATGGAGGTTTATTCTGGTGAAGACAATTTTTGCTACTGAAGTTACACATTAGAACTATCTTCACATTGAAGCAGGTTCTATAGAAGTCTACCAAGGAAGGGGAATAGAATACAGTTTGGATGAGATTAAGGAGAGGATGGAGGTTTATTCTGGTGAAGACAATTTTTGCTACTGAAGTTACACATTAGAACTATCTTCACATTGAAGCAGGTTCTATAGAAGTCTACCAAGGAAGGGGAATAGCTCTCCATATGTTTAGTGAATCTGTATAAAAATCTTTGAAGGAATGAGAATGGAGAACATAGAATGAGCTCCAGGGGTGACCATCCCCTCCAAGGCCGATGGTGCATGCCCCGCTCACTTATATAATTAATATGTATTTATATTAGATGTACTATCAAGTTTAGTTTAAAAGATAATAGATATAATACTGTTTTGTTTCTCGAGGATATTAAATACACAATACATTAGGCAATTATTAGGTCGGTATATAAGTTCTTTCGGTTTTTCTGTTTATTTTTATGTCACTATGATACAC